TTTTCGACTGAAAGCTTTGCCACATTCTTTACATTTGTAGGGTTTCTTTCCACTGTGAGTTCTCCTGTGGCAAATAAGGTGTGATTTTTGACTGAAAGCTTTGCCACAATCTTTACATTTGTAGGGCTTCTGTCCAGTGTGAGTTCCTCTGTGGCAAATAAGGTGTGATTTTTGAATGAAAGCTTTGTCACATTTTTCACATTTGTAGGGCTTCTCTCCACTGTGAGTTCTGCTGTGGTAAGTAAGTCCTACTTTTCGACTAAAAGCTTTGCCACAATCTTTACATTTGTAGGGCTTCTCTCCACTGTGAGTTCTGCTATGGTGAATAAGGTCTGTTTTTTGACTAAAAGCTTTGCCACATTCTCTACATTTGGAGAGCTTTTCTCCAGTGTGAATTCTTCTTTGGTAAATAATGTTTAATTTTTGACTAAAATCTTTGCCACATTTTTTATATTTGTAGGACTTTTCTCCAGTATAAATTCTCTGGTGGTGAACAAGACCTGATTTTTTATATGATTTCTGGTTTCCACTCTCACTTGTAGTTTTCCTTATTTTCTTTTGTTGTAAATAGTCAAAATCACGACTTCTGTATTTCCCACTTATCACTTTGTGAAATATATGTTTTATGCCCTTTTCTGGTGAATATTCTTGGGTGTGCTGAGGAGTCATGGCTGAAATAAACAAAAATAAAAAAATAAACAATACCTACTAGACAGGGATAAATATATTTTGCATACATAACATGAAATTGGGGTAGAATAAATACATCAGGAGTGTAGAAGATTAGTATGTCCAAGTCATCATAAATCAAAAAATATATCAGTTCAATAAAAAAGCACAAACAAAACAACCTTCAGAATATTACTCAAATTTTTGTAGAGATCACAGCATCCAAGAAGAGTATATCATTAAGAAGAGAAATATAATAAAGAGAAGGTAAGTATGTTACTTTTATCATCTACAGCCTTTTGTTTTCTATCAGATAGCATTGTGTATTTAGGAAATATCTACCAGCTACCTTCACTCTCAGTAGAACAAGAGAAATGTAAAATATACAAACATTTGTTGCTTTTCCAAAGAAAGTATCTAAAAACTGGCTTTGGTCTACCATGACATACAGACATGAAAATAACTAGTATATTTTGAGGCATAATACCACAACTATTCAACAAGGGTAAAGAGGCTATGGACTCTTAAAAAGAAAAATGAACAAAAAAATTTACTAAGGAATATACACATATATGTCTATAAAATTTTCCATTAAAAAAATTTAAAAGACTATAAAAACCTTGCATAGCCTATGGCCATAATAACTGGATGAAGTCAACCCATAACAATCAAGTATAATAAATTGATTTTTATATTTTTAAATTCATGAGATATGATGATTTCTTTCATTGACAAATACACCTTTGTTTATTTCCTAAATATATCATGGTACTTTATACTATATAT